CTGGGCCATGAAGTGCCAGTCCCMAGCAGGAGCTGTGGGCAGGGTGAACCCAGCTGAGGTCGGATATCAGCCTGCTCTGGGTGATGAGATCACCRGGATCATTTGGAAAGAATGGGTTCGCAGCGAATCACACCAACCCCAAACAAGTTCTTTAGGCTCTTCCTGTGCCCTGTSCTCTGCCAGAAAATGCCAAGGCACATTTAAAGTCAGGCACTGAAACCCSATCCTGAGGTGTCTGTGTGTATTTATACCCTGCTGAAATAAATCTCTCCTCAGGAAGTGAGTCTGAATTTTTTTTTTTTTTTCCCTGTGGGAGGACAATAAACTGCCCTTACCTACAACCTTGAGGGTGATGCGAGCCCATTCGTACTGCCCAGCATTTTTCACCTTGCAGATGTACTTCCCTGCGTCGCTGGACTGCAGGGAGATGATTTGTAAGGATGCATCTCCAGCCAGGAAATTGGAGGTGAAGGAAACTCGGCCCTTYTGCTCCTCGTTCAGGTCATCATAAACCCGGCCCCCTGAGTAGGTGATCACCTGAGGAGCAGAGCAGACACTGAGTTATCATTTTATTTCCATTTTTATATGTATGGAACAATAAATCCCAGCATTTCCTTGAGCTCCACACCACCCATAAGTGACTTTCCATGGGTCACACAGGAAACCTGGGGCAGGGTGGGAAAGCAAACCCAGATTTCTACCCAGAATGATACAAAATGGGTATTTATGGTGGGGATTTCTATTGGGCATTGATACAATTGTCAAAACGGGCATCAGTTCGTGCCACAACTCATCAGAGCAGTCTGGAGGTTTGGCTGTGCTGATTTCAGCCGTGCAAACYCAATTTTTTAAGGACCAAACTGCTGGATTTTGTACCAAAACCAGGAATTCCAAAGCAGGCCTGCAAAATCCAAGGTGATTTGGAAAGCCTGAAGGGCCCTCCTGAACTTTATCTAACTTTATCTTAACCTCCCTTCCTTTCMTGTCCTTTCCTTTCCTTTAGATAATGAACTTTATCCTGACTACATTTAAAAAAAAATAAATTCCATTGTAACACAACCAGTTCCAACACAGCATGTTGGGTGTTAAATAGCTATCAAATAACTTTTACACTTTATAAATCTCTCTACATCAGCTCTGCTTCCCAAACACCGCTCTCCTCATCATCAGAGCTTGCAGAGATCATCTCAGGGGCGCTGTTAAACCCAGGGCCGGGAAAAAAAGAGATTTTTTTTTTAACAAACCCACCGCTTTCTGCACCGTTTCAGAGATGTGCAGCAGCCACTCGATGTCCAGGCTGCCCTGCTCCAGCAGCCCCAGGCGGTGGTGACAGGGCAGGGTGACGTTTTCCTCTGCCACCCTCTTGAACTCGGTCTGAGCCTCGCACAGCCAAACGGAGCAGGACGCTGAAAACCAAACACCGGCGGTCAGGGAGCGATTCTGGCGGGGTTTATTGACCAAATTTCACTGGGTTCATCCTCATTTCCTCCTCAGAGTCCCAGCAAGCCCTCCCTGCACAGATTGCAGCTGATTTTCTCACTGATATTGGCACAAATACCTTCACACTCAGCACTCACATCACACCCAAGCCCTCCCAATTCCAGAAAACCTCCCCGGCTCTGCCTTCACCTCTCATTACCTGAATTCAAAATAATAATTCCACTCAAAAAACCTTCAATTTATTCTTCTGTCAGCCTGAAAAATATTTGGAGTCTCTTTGCTAACAGCAGAGTCTCTTCCCTGATGCTGGATGATATTTCTGCATTTCAGTATTGAAATAAGAACCCAGATCAGGAAGAAGAGGATTGAATTTAAGGAAAGCGTGGGTAAAGGAGGATTGGGAAGTATCTTTGAATAGCAAGGTCCAAAAATAAAAAAAAAAGGAGTTATCAAAAATGGTTTATCAGGGTTTAAAAAAGAAATGAAAAGGGAAGTGCCAAGCGGAGCCACTAGAAGGCAGCAGAGCCTTAGGAATGGGAGACAAAAAAMCCCMAAAWTT